GATATCATAGTTGATACAGTATATGCCAACAGATATGAATGAGTTACATAAAAATTTGAAGAATTGCTCAGAGACTTATGTAAGTATTTTGATCGCCGTGCGAAGTCTGTAACAAATGCAGTACAACAAGGCCCTCCTTCAATCTCTTCAATGTTACAAGACGTCATTTCATGGATATAAATGTGGTCCTTTGAACTCGTCGTCACAAGTGGTGAGGGTTTAGTTTCGCACGGGAGAGTGGGTAGGTTGCACACTACCCTGTTCCTGTTTGGCGGTTAGGGAGTTAGTTAATGAGCACAGCTGGGCATAGTTAGCGGTTAGCAGGGTGATCATCTGGGTATTTAAGTCACTGGGAAATGTCACCACTTTGTCGTTTATTGTTTCAAGTCACGTTGGTATTGGAGGTGAGCGTTGGAGATTGTCTCCATTGTTTTTAGTTTTTTAGCTTTTATATTCGCAACTTTCTTTTTATTCAGTGTATATTTTTCCCGATCTGCGTTTTCGTATTTGTTTTTCACCATGTTGGTCTTTTAACCTCACTACACCTGGACGGTTTGTGACACTCGTCTAGCCCTCTCATTTATCTTCACAATTGACAGTTGTGCCAAGCAGCACTTGGCGGAATAATGACCATTTATGCTATAATGCAACATTTTATGTTAGATCGTTCATTAACAGAATACCAGATTTGTAATATATGAACAAATCTATCTGCAAACAATGGTTGGAAAATTAAGTAGATGTCCGATAACAGACTTGCCAAAACGATGGTTTCTTGACATTAAATCTGTGGAGTTGTTGTTTTTCTTCTACGTTTTAATGACTTTCACCTAAGTGTATGTACAAATGATGACTTTCAACAACTTTACATCAGTAGTTTCAGAGTTGATGATCAGGAACTTAACATTCTAGAGTAACCAAATGAAAATCCCCCAAGACTTTGAATATCAATCAGAATCGTCTGTATTCCATGTCCATTGCCTTGCCGAGTGTGATGCTATAAAATTAACAGTATCCAGACTTATGGGCCCTGGTTATTAGTGCCTGAATATGAGAGCAGTTAGACAACTTCTCTTCTGGTAGTGTCTGGGCAAGGGACTATTTCTAGTCTGTGCAGTAATGAGCCTTGAATACAGATAATTTCTACTCCCCAGCTCATTTGCACAAATGTACTGGCATTAGAAGAATATATGAGCGGACCACATTGAAACAAGGCCTACAAGCAGAACGTTAAACGATTACAATCCATCATATTTAATTGGTCAAATACCTGGGTTATATGTACTGAGCTGCTGTCGTTGTGTAAGGCTAATAAAAAAAATGGCAGTAATCAATAATTATTTTAGTTTTTATTGGTGATATTAATTTCAGTCTGTTGACATATGTAGCTTAATGACATGGTTGCTGTAAAACCCAAATGACACTCATAAACACAATATTCGGCGTTCATTTATCTATGCGATATTTGGACGACGTGTCTGTTCGTCTTCTGCCAAAGGGGTTTTGATCATCTCGCATTATGGGATGTTCGAATATTTCTCAATGCTCCGCGCCGCCGTTACGTTGGGTTTGCCCGTTTCGTTTGGTTCCTAACGCGTTCATGAGAAAGGCAGGCAATGCTTATTGTTCACCTCGTGTTTGAGTTATTAAATTAGACAAGAAAATATTATGTCGGTAAATATTAAAAGAACAAAATTGTAAAAAGATCAAGGCGGTTAGTGCTGTTATTCCTTCATAGATTTGTTTAGTCTTATAAGGTGAATTCATATTTGATATGGTTCTCAAATGCAACGCATTTTTTTCAGATGCTGCTGCTCATTCCAAATCTGACTTACCTAAAATTAGGTCCCAGAGTATTTTTACTGGATCCTTCTAGTTTTTTTGGCAATACCAGATTTTCATGATGGCAGCAACAACCATTTTTTTTCACCATATAAATTGCGGGCCCATGACAATCTCTCCGGCCACGTCAACGACACACAAATGGAGCCCACGCCAATAACACAAGCAGTTTAAGAAACAACCCAACTGAGAGCATTCTGACTGGCTGCATCATTGTCCCGAACAGCACCTGACCTGCCCTTGATCTTAAAGTTCTTTAGAGGGTCGGGGGAGTGACACATTTCCTCGTTGGGGCAGATCTAGAACCTCTACACCAGGAAGCGTTTGACAACGGCCCCTAAAATAGTCTAATGTTACAGCCACCTGAGTCATGGACTGTTCTCTGAACTACCACATGGGAGACATGGAAACAGGTGGAGCATCATGTCAACACATTATTATCCATATACATATACAACTGTATGTGCTGTCACCTCGTATGAAAGGCAACAACACACCTTATCCATCTGTGTTCATAAGTGTATGTATGTATTTTTCCACTGTTTTCCATTGCAGTCATGTCCAACCGAATGTTGTCCAGCAAACATTCTTGTCACGTAACGAGGTGTAGTGCAAGACAGTCGCGTTCGAGGATTAAAAACAAATACGACGACGACCAAAAATCAAACTGTCGACTGTCATGAAAACAAAATGCGCTTTCACAGAGCGACTTGTAAAAATGACGAAAACAGTGACATTCAAATGATAACTGACAAATTGTTGACACTTCCCTGTAACTAAATAACTAATTTAAATTAGCTAATTGCTAACTCACCACAGCTGTGAGCATTTAGCAAAACAAGAATTAATAAGAAGTTTTTTCTTCATCTTTCACTGATTTATATAATGACATTAACTTATCGGTATTATTAAAGAAACACCTGTTACACCTCAAAGTTGTGATGCAGTATCCTAAGAAAATGCATAGCAATTATTCAAAACGCTTTAATTATTATTATTGATTCTCATCAAACTATTTTTTGACAATATATTGGACCCAGATTTAAATAATTAAAAATACACAGAAATTCATTAACATGGAGGAAAGCCAGTCTGGTATCTCTTTCACAGACACACAGGCTTTCTCTTTCACAGACACACCGGCTCTCTCTATCACAGACATACGCTCGTACATTGTAGTTTTTCCCTTTTTTACACAATGGATAATTTCAAGGCAAATCAGTAGAGAATGTGTCACATTACTAAATTGTTACTTTTATACTGTCACTGTTTTTCAGCGAGCACAATTGATGAAGAAGCCAAAGCTAATCAACCGTGATTGTCTTTCATGTGTTGTCGAAAATGTATTTCACATAACGAGTGTCGTTTTTTTATTCGCGCGCTACCTTAAAAATGGAAGGTTGTGGTAGTGGACATGGACGATTTAATCAGCCGGAGCATGGTATAATCAAGAATAATCAATTTGAATCTGCATAACAAATCCGGCCCCTTTTGGTTTCGCTGAATCAAGTGTTTTGTTTCGTCAACATGAAAAGGTCATTGGCCAGGCAGGACCTGTTTGTTGCCAGTCAGAGTGCCGTGTTTGCAATCAGATAGAGTTTGGCCCACTTGACAGCAGGAGCGTGTCACTAATAGCAGAGGTCAGTTCTTGTCGTCATGTTGCTGTGAGGTGAATGTATAATTGGCCGTTTGTAGAGGAGATGCGAAGGAGATCGTTCTTTTTTGCGACTCAGGTGCCCTGTCATATTGTCGCATTGTAACTGTGCTGCAATTGTTATTAGCCTGTTTTACCTCACGACGCCACAGATGGCGCTACCGGACTTTGGTTAATTGCAATCAATATTTCCGTTGTGGATGTTTTGCCTAGCCATAGCTGGCCATTTGTTCTAGGACTTCATGAATTACAGACTATTTAACTATTTAAGGTACCTTTTTAGTTCATAGAAAAACTTTTCGAAAGACCATGTTTGGCTTAAAGCACCATGACAACAACCAGTGGCCAACATGTCTCTTTAATAAACCAATAAGTAGGATAATTCCTAATCGCTCTGGCGCCAGTGAGTTTTCAGTATCCCTGTTAGCGCTCAGACTATCGTACCAAGATTGTTCCAGATAAATCAGCCTTCGCCAGGAGATGATCTGAAGTCTCTCAATCAATCAATGAATCAAATGTATTTCATAAGGCCCCTTTCAGAACAAAGTTGTCGCAAAGTGCTTTTACGCGAACCCGGCCACGTGGAACCTCACAGCCTCACGTAACGATTCAACTTTGACTGTCACTGTTGTTGTTGTTCTGTTAAATACGGACTGGATCGACTGTGTACCCGCGCGAGCAGAAATGACATTCGGTAGCGTGCATCTCTCTCCGACATGTGTGGTAAGAGATGTGTTTACTGTACAGACATATGTTCAGCCACTCTCACTCCCTCACCCATGGCGGTTTGGTGTCAGAGGTCATGGGATGTTCAGCAACAGCAAATGGACAAACACCCAATTGACGACGAGGAGGGGTCTCGGCTGGGGGAACAAAACAACCAGTCAAACTCTTGTATCTAAAACACCGCATGAACGCGATAAAACACTCAATGCTTTGATGTTTATTCAGGGGGGGGGGGGCGAATGTGTTTGACATTTTTCCAACTCCTTCGATATTCAAGTGGCATGTGAAGGTTTAACGGCTTGCTGAAGTAATACTGTGACTTCGAAAATGGCTACAACAGGATAACAGGAAAACACAGGAACAAACGCAGCACACACGGACCTGGGTTATTAATCTCGATCGACGTGAAAGAACAATGCAATCCGATAATGCCAATGTGCGAGTCTCCAAAACAGGAGAGCAATAGAGCAGCTTCTTATTCTCAAGAGTTTTTTTGGGTAAAAGAAAATGTGCGCACAAATTATTTTTATTCAATTCATTTTGTTCTGACATAGGAGAGTTTTTTCATTACTTGAGCATTGATTTTGCCTGTTGTTTTAATTCAGTGAAAAGACAGTGAAAAGTCCTGTAAGTCTCTGGTCGGAGTTACCGCCGATCAGACTTGTGGTTCTCCCACATCTGACAGACACTCAATTGGCTGACATCTTGGGTATTTGAGGGCAGGGCAACACATTGAACTGTTATTTTTTATTTAACCTTGATTTAACCAGGTAGGCCAATTGAGAGTTGTGATTCGAATACAGGACGTCATACACACAAAGCATGCACTCTACCACTGTGCTACCAACAGCTCCAACTCTTCTTCATGCTCCTCAAAACATTCCCTGAATGATGTGTGCAGTGTGGCAATGCGAATTATCCCGCTGTAAGAGGCCACTGCAATCAGCTGGATATCATTGCCATGAATGTGTGAACCTGGTCTGCAACGATGTTTAGGTGGGTGGAACCCGGATGCCCGAACACAGGGTTCCCCAGTAGAACATCGCCCAGAGCATCACACTACCTCCACCGATCTGTAGTCTTCTCACAGTGCACCCTGGTGCCATCACTTATCCAAATGAACGGTGCAAGCGCCACACCAGCATCCACATTATGTTAAAGGGAGGACTCTTCTCCAAGGTCCAGGTATGACGCCCAATTTAAGACCCCTTTGACGGTGAACAGGGGTCTGGCCACCTCTGACCAGTCAGTGGCTACGTAGCACCATACTGAGTGGTCATAATGCCTTCATAATGTATTCAGTGTTTAAACACTCACTGGACACACACTTGGTTGTTGGCCTTGTTTGCAAATCTGGTCATTAATTTCAGTCAATCTCTCTGCACTCGTTAATATCAAAGCATGTAATTACAGTATAGTAAATATTGAAAATGTATTGAAAATGTATTGACGAATGATATGTCATATACTCGCAAGATGGACTTTTAGGTATTGAAATATGTTCTCAGAGCAGCATCGCATCTGATTGGTTCTCTCAGTCGCCCAATCAGCGGCAGCAAAAGTCCAACCTGCTCTCTGACTCTCCACACGGCACAGAAGACTGGCGCCGTAGATCCTAAGGTTTCTTTCGAAGAATGTGACTTTTCATGGGAATCTTTTCAAACCTCTTCAAATTTTAATTGAGTGTTCTTTGGTGTTAATTCTTCATAAACACGTTCTGACTGCTAATATAAAAGTGATATATTGATTAAGTATCGGACACAAACAACACATGCCACTATACTGTGCAAATAACTAGCTCGAAAATGAAGCACTTTATTAGAGAGTTAAAAAAAATGTAAAGGAGTCAAATCCCCAGAGGATAATACTAACTTGAAGAACAAATCTGCCCTTTTTGTTCGAAAAAATATAAATGTAATAATTGGCAAAAGTTTTGATATGTATGTAAAAAGCAATCAGCAGTAATTAATTGGCTAATGAATGGTTAGTAATGTGTTGTTTCATAGACGCCGCAAAAGCGCTCGCATTCTATTCTGAACTGGAGATGTTACCAGAAATGTGTGCAAAAAGTCACTCGGGTATTTATCGGAAAATGTAACAGTTCCAGTTCAGATTGTATGTCAAATGTCTGAAATTGAATTGGGACTACTTTGGGTCATATGGGGTTCCATCGTACCAATAAGCATACTTGTCATCTTCAGTCATATTCAGAATGTCACACGTCAATGACCTTTCTCAATGTGCCTGCGGTGGTGAAACCTTCTGAATGGCTTGTTGCTTCAGGCAATACAAATTGAGATATTTAGTCTCCGTGTGGGTATACAAGACATCAGTGTGCGCGTTTAACTGGTGATATGTTTTTGTGTCTGTTACTGACAGTTTTTTTTAACCGAAAGTCAGGCCGCCTTTCGAAACAATACACTTGTCAGTAATGTTATCCTACACAGACAAATCGTGATAAGAAGATATCTCTCGGGTTAGTTCGAGGGAACGACTCTCAAAATGGCACACAAATCCACCCTGCCAGCTTGCCCTTCTGCACTGCTCCCCTGTCTTTGGTTAAAACACAAATGAACTGACAGAGTGGGTTTGAGGTCAGCGTGAAGTTATTAACACATACAAGGTGGCCCCGCTGTGTCCCTTTATCAACAATTTGCACCTGTAGTATGAAGAATGACAACAGGCTCCGTCATTAGTAGAAGGGCCTCTGTGACAAAAGAAAAGAGATATTCACAGTTTCCCCATTTGCATCACAATGACCTGATGATAATAAAGGGCATTTTGTTTGTAATTCAGTCCCTCTGACGTGTACAAGGAGACTGCTTATGACTCCAGCTATGCTGCTGACTATGCTAAACAGCTAGCCGGGCGCTCTAGCTAACCTCACACAACACGTGGTTTGGAATGGCCAATCGCATAGCCCAGTGAAATGCAATGTCTTATGGGAAACAGAACGCTGCCAAACGACGACCTCACAATGTTTCAAACACAATCTCAGGGAAACACAGGTTGTAAAAACAGTAAAGAGTCTAATTTGTCCTGAGGCTACCGAAATCGTTTAGCGACTTTTAATTAGGTATAATGTCCTAAACGGACCGAGACTGAGCAACGGCCTACAATTGGGGCGCGCGTTGGTCGATAAGACATCAGTGTGAGGGCTGCCACGCTAACGTCTTCAATCTTACACGCCACTAAATTTGATCTACAATTACGAGAAAACAAATAATTGGCAGAAAAATAGAGAATTTGACTTATATCAAGCCTTTCTTTTACATGGTCGAATGCTCTGGTTACTTCCATCAGTTTATACGCAGATGAGCCAAAATATTACACAACCACAGGTAAAGCAAGCAACGCGATCATCCCCCCGAACATGGGCGCATGCCACGGTCTTGTCAAATTAGATGCTGAGGGAACGATCAGTTCTCATAGTCACCGTTTTGTTCGCGGGAGAAAATGGCAGGAGTGCAGACCTGAGCGACGTTGACAAGGGCCAAATTGATATGGTCAGACAAATGGGCCTCTGTGACGGGAACGACCCAACTGGACCTTGGAGGGCATCCGGAGAAGGTTGTCTGGTTCTGATGAGTCCCATTTACTTTTACGTCATGTGACCGGCCCTGTACGTGTGCCGATTATCTGGAGAAGTGATGGCACCAGGGTGCACTGTGGGAAGATGACAAGCCTGTGAGGAAGTGATACTCATGTGGATGAAATCCTGTGTCTGGGCATTCAGGTGGATGTCAATGTGACGCGTGCCACCTACCTAACCATTACTGCAGATCAGGTACACCCCTTCATGGTAATGGTATTCCCTAATGGCAGTGGCCTCTTTCAGCAGGATAATGCGCCCAGACACACTGCACACATCGTTGACTCTAACGGTCTGAGGAACACGATGAAGAGTTCACGGTGCTGTCCTGGCATTCAAATTCCCAAGATCTCAATCCGATTGTGCATCTCTGGGTCGTCCTGGATCAATAAAGCCCGGTCCACAGTGGCTCTACGTCACAACTTATCTGCTGCAAATATCTCGGTGCCAAAAACCACAGGACACCTTCAGGGGTCTGGTAGAGTCCATTTCTCTGTGAGTCAGCGCTGGACCAACAGAATATTAGACAAGATATAATCAAATATTTACAAAAATGTGAGGGGTGTACTCACTTTTGTGAGATATTATATATATATATATATATATATATATACGTATATATGTGTATGTGCATATTTGTATATACAGGATATGTATATAAAACAATAAAGGACTGACTTCAGTGGTACCCACACAGCATGTTATTACTTTGCTCTTCTCCGATTCAAAGGAAGGTCAGGATGTAATTCAATACAACACTAATTGTACGTATAAAATGTTGTACCAACATCAATGATTGAATTTAAACGTGATTGCAGCCATTTAGAGACGTCTGTGGTGAAGAAAGCCATCACCCCAGTGAGCCCTGGGAAGCTGAGCGGACCATGTGACTGTATTAGACTCAGTATTTCCCTCTACATGCACGCGTACCAAACCGGTTCTCCATTTGCTATTCCGGGTTCTCTCCAGAGTCGGAGATAATAATTGTACTCTGTAACGTGCCATCTCCATTGTCGTCACCACGGATACTGAAAACACGAACACACAGTGAGCGGCGGGGTCTTTTGTGGGACATAACGGCGTGAGCGCAATGCAAATGGGTAACTCTCTGTGCTCAAAGAAAAAGTCACGCTTTTCAAGAAGATACTGCACTTACATCTGCATGAAAGTTGGGATTTGAGTTGAAGGTTGACAAATGAAACGTGGTTGGTGTGGGTGTGCAGTGGGCTGAAGGCACTGCTTCTGACAATAAATGAAATGTTTTTATCAAGATACACGGAATAAATAGAGCGTCCTTGGCACGGAGAAGGCGAGTGAAGTACACAGAAATAAACCGGGACTCTCCGGCGACTTGATGCCCGTGAGTGATTCAGGCCATTGGCAAGCCTTCACTTTGCATCGCAGACAACCTCGGAATCAGAACGTATCCTTGAGAAACATGAAGTGCAGCGGTTGACCCAGAAAATCGCCAGGTTCCGGGAATCGTCAACAGTGCAGCCGTTTATTTTCCCGGCATGCCATTGTGGGTCATTTTTGTTTACGTCTCTTTAATGGCAACTCAAATGAAAAGGACTGAGACAATCGGTCATAACAGAACAAGCAAAAGAACATTCCGGATGATATTGCATCAGTATGACCTATAAAGACATGTACAATAACTAAATATCCTCTCTGTGTAAGCATATGGATTTATTAGCATGTGCGTATAGCCATAAAAGTGTGGACCGCCACGTGTTCTTCCCTCTGTCGTAACTGCATTTCAAGAGTTAAGCCAACAGATGAACGGCCTAACCTCCATTAGTTTCCCTTTACACTGCTCCTCAAGTACTGATCCAAAGGTTGTGTCCCTAAATGACACGCTAAGGCCTTAAACTGTATCAGAGGGCTTTCCCCCTGACCAGAGCCTTATTAGTTCAATACGAAAGGTTGAGGTGGTGTTTCAGGTCAAACACTCAGAATCGATACCAGAGTAGCAGCATGAGGGGAAACTAATTGTGGAGGTTAGGCAGAGATTGGGGGGTTATAGACGGAGAGAGAAGGGGGGGCAGTGCCGCGTTCTCTCTTTACGCTCCGTGAACATATTTGACTTGTGGCAAAATGAGATTACCCCCGTTGTTTTTGCAGGTGGATACGACATACCTCAATTAAGTTGAGACAAAGGGGGGTACCACAGAAGCTGCGCTTCCCTTCTTCTAGGCAGGCGCGATCAATACAACCTCTTTGCAATAAAATACGCCTATCCCTTTTGGCGATAACTT